TACATCGATTGACGACTTCGATTTCTGATATGATGACATCATGCTCGGTTCCTGGTCCATATTGTAAGTTTAATAACTGACCATAAAAGTAAACAAATGTTACGTTGATTTGGATTGTTTGAACAGTAATCAATAATAATTAAACAAGTATAGGAGCGTACTATGAACCAAGAACAACATCATTAGCACCATATTACACATATCAAAAATCAACGTCTGTAATTATTCAATGAATAAACATGTTAAATTTCATGTTGGAGCCTTAGTCTTTATTCAAAGAGCATCGCCCCCTAACACAAGAACAAGATGAGTAGCTCTTCTTAAGTAGTGTAAAGTTCCTGGTACACAAATCAATTATCTAATAGTTTGTGTTAAAGTTTATAAAAGCGAGACACACACACACAGAAATGGGGTTTAATGTCTGCCTGACACAAGGTGGGTCATTTTCAGACTAACATATGGTTCAGTTTTATCTCAATAATTCACATGCTAAAGGGGTCTTTAGCTATAGCAGGACCTGGAGAAAACCCAGGGGGTTGGACAGGCAACCTTACTCCTTGTCACAAACAAGTGGGGAATCGAAATTCACACCACTAGGCTCAATAAAATCCCCCCCCCATCCCCTTCAACATAAGCTTATAAAACTAAGCAATAACTAACCAGGTACTGGAGCAGGCTCTTCTTCATCAGGCGGATCGGGCAGAGGTGTGTTACTCTTTGATGCTTTCGGTGAGGCTACACTGGAATCAGCCACTGACTTCTTTTTACCCTTTGCTTTCTTCTGTTTAAAGAAAAACACAAGAAATAAATTAATATTATCACTGATACTATCAATATCAATTAAGTATCAAGCTTGATAACGATCGAAAAACCTGTATCAGCAGTGTATGTGTATTGAAACGTAGCATGTTAATAAATTTCAGAAGTAGTATATCCAAATAAGTGTGTTTATTTTTAGTGAAATCTATTTCTATAATTTCTTATACTTATACGTAACTTGTAGTTTTAAGGATTAGCCTAGGCCTAAGCCTAGGCCTATATTATAATAAACAAAACATTTCATTTATTTAGGCTAGAGAATATGCCTATTTATTTCCACAAAAACATTTACAATTCTGATCAATAAAAAATAAAGAAATAAACACTATATATCACTCACGCCCACGCCGCTCATCTTTTCGCTTGTTTAAATATTTATAAGTTGAAAGGGTCCACTCTAACGGTAAATGGTTCCAATACTGACTGGTGACATTATTTTCTTGCAGAACAATCAACCACGGATTATCGCTTAGCGTTTACCCTGACAACAACCTCTCGCTATTTCTCCCCAATTCTCGTGTAGACGCGAATGTCATATGACGTAAATAAAGAATCTCTTTCTTTGCTGGTCATCCGTGACTAAATTATAACGGATCGGTTTTGGAATATGGACAGGTATGGATATTTGTTTTTTAACATTGAAAAAAAGCGACGTGCGACGCGGCTGAAATAGAACACCATAGATTATTTAACGCTTGTTTACCAAATATATGTTTTATGAAATAAAATTATTTAACACATATTATAATTAAAACATTTTTTTTTTAATTTTGATAAATGAAATGAAATGGGGTTTTAGTTTTACGTACAGCACACCATGCCGTGTGATATTTAGAAAATTTAGTCCAAACAACACCGTTTCTGCCTACTTTCGATATATTAAAATTCTATTCCCTTCTATTCTGTTATATTCATCGAATTCTAGTTAGTTAGGAATGGTCTGATACGACAATGTCCTAGAATTCTACCTCGTGTGTTTTCACCGGGTCCTCCGGTTTACTTCCACTGCTAAAGACCCACCCCTACACGCGCAAGCGAATTATTGGAATAAAATTGAACCATGTGTTAGTCCCGAAATGACATATTTTGTGTCGAGTGGACGTTAAACCCCACATATTCCAGCTCTCACCAGTTCTTTGCGCGCATGTCAAGGTGAAGACGGGACTTCGGTTTATTGTCTCATCCAAATAACTAGACACTGAGGTCCCTTGTACACATTGGCGAGTACGTAACTAACGTACGAAAATTAAATGGTCACTTATCTGCAGGTAGGGTGGGTCTGTCGTTCAGATTGATATTGGCGTGCACATAAAAAAAATCCTTTTGCAGTTGGAATTCGATATTAGAGTAGGTCGTAGTGCCGCTGTCCGGTCAAAATGTCCCTCATAGCATACTGTATGGCGTATGAACGTCTTCATTAGCCCAGTCGGAGCAGAGCAGTAGGACGTTAAACCCCATTTCATTTCATTTTGTTCCTTGTCAGCCCTTCCACCCTGCATCACTGACAACGGGAAACCACATCGGAACATCCCCAGGAACTTTTTCAGCCGACACGGGGTTCCAACAGGAGGCTAAGGGATAGTGAGCCAGCGCAATTAGTTTTGTATTTTCGCAACCACGCTTATTTTTATTGTCGGTAAGGTTGATTAAGAATATCCTCAAAAGTTTCCTTTATATTTATAGTCTTCCAACTGTGTCCGTCGGTTCACCCAACTTATCTTGTGAACCCTCCACACGCCACAGTTGTTGTCAGATTTTGTTCTTCAAATTTCCATTGAAATTTTCGCCTTATCAAATTTTTGAAATCCCTACTAAATGTCCTAAAGACAAACATATGGCTCTGTTCCTTTAGAAATTTGTGGGATTCTCTAGAATGTTATCAGATTACTACAGGACAAATGTATTTCAAACAGTATAGATTTAACCACGTGAATACAATTTGAAATAATTAAAGTAGTTAAGTCTCTAACTCAATATCATCCAAAATCTTCGACATTGAAAACACGATTTATTTGTCGGTATAAATCAACATTGATGTTGTGATCTTACCGGGAAAAGATGGATTTCTGATATCCAATATTTAAGACAAAATAAACATTTTACAATTGGTACACAAATCGTGTACCATAATGCGTTTCAGCGCTAATTGTAATAAGGGACTCGAAAAACGAGGCTAGGCATATTTCACAAGTCATGTCAAACGGTGATGCTATACTCTTATCTGGAGAGCAAGCCCAATAAATAATATCGGCGTAGACTTATAATATAATCAGACGCTAGAGATTAAAATTCGATTGAGAATACTGGCGTATTTCGCAGAACCTAACTAATTAAAAATTACAGTAAAAACAGAAACGATTGAATGTAAATCAATTTATACATTCATATTACATTATTGTATGCGTTGCGACCCATATGTGTCAATTTCTAGGTCCCAAATATTAGCGACTTAGCTCCTTTAAATACAGTTTTGCATAGTATCGGTACTTTTGATTTTATCCCAAGTGTAGTGTCAGTATAGAATTCGCCACTTGTCAGGGTCAGATCTGTTTCCGAAGGCCACCTGCAGATTTCCCCAGGGTCACGAGATGTAAACAGGGTTAGAGAACGTGATTGTTGCCGAGTATTGCGGTTTAGAGTTAGCACCAGGTCTTGGGTTAGGGTTAGCGCTAGTCCTGTATTGACATCTCATCAACTTGAGGAAATCTGCAGGTGGCCTTCGGAAATAGACCTACAGCCTTTTCAGTGATGGCAAGAGACAACGTATAGTCCTTCGGATGTGTATGTAAAAGAAACGTTGGCAGCTGGAATTCCGGGCAAAATTTCCCTTTTTGGACACTGTATAGAGTACATACCCGTCTTCATTAGCCCAGACGGGACAGAAGAAATGAACACTGGGTCAACAACTTTCTTCAAAAAGTCCTACTGTAAATTTCATCATACTAGCTTTAAAAGTCAAATTATGACCGGAAATATAAAACGCCGAAACGCTTTCGAAACTTACGAGCCCCAAAATTTTGGAATTCGACTGGGTTCTTCCTTCTACCCTAACAATCTCGCCGAGTTTTAAAACATTCCATCGGGATCCATTATCACATAAAAGCACAACATAGTCCTTTAAAATACCATTGCGGTTGCGGGCAGCATTTTCATTAGTGGAATATGTATAATAATATTCTACAGTTTAAGACAAATACTATAGTCTTTCCTACAGATATAGGAAAGTACTATAATATTCTGTAGATTTATGGGGCAGTTTCTATCCGAAAGTACCATAATATTCGTAGATTTATTGGGGAAATTTCTATAGGAAAGTACTATAGTCTTCTGTAGATTTACTATAGTATTTTGAAGAATTGTTGGGGAATTTCTATAGGAAAGTACTATAGCATTCTTTAATTTTATGGGGAAATTTCAGTAGGAAAGTACTATTCTGTAGATTTATTAGGGAAATGTCTATAGGAAAGTACTATTCTGTACATTTATTAGGGAAATGTCTATAGGAAAGTACTATTCTGTAGATTTTTAGGAAAGTACGAGACGGTTTGTAAACATCTAAAAGAGGCGAAAGGGTGCCATACCATTGAACATTTATATGTCAATAAAAGTATTCTATATATAATTCTAAAAACAATCGGTTATTTATTTAAAGCGTAATTAATTTGTTTTAAAATTATGATTCTTATTTCACAATTAAGGGGTTTTGGAGACTAACAGATAGCGTAAATAAAATGCTATCTAGATTCCTAGACATGTTGTCAAACCATCAAATATATTAATTCAATTCTTTTTTTTACATATTTGGCCAATTCTCTACATAGTCAGGCATAGTTAACCAATAAAATAATGAATAAACGACCATCCCGGGATTTAAAAGACCAGAACTCGCTCCGACTGGGTGGGGGGTGTGTGTAATGACTTAGTGGTCGAGAGTGTCACGCTTCGATCTCTAGCTCATCGGTCACCTCTGGCTTCGGGTTGTGGTTTCGATTGCCGCTCTAGAGTTAGTTTAGAGAGATAGAAAGACATATTTTTAAAGTTCATCTAGACTTGTACATGTGTTTATATAGCTATTCCTGATATAAAACGTAATTAAGAAGAACAGTGTGTTCCTGAGTTACTACAGAGATATATTGGAAATAGTTCCATTCTGTAATAACATAATTTTGACAATATTGAGTCTATAAGTTTAATTGACTATCAAATATTACACTAATGTTTCTGGTAGCATTTGTTGGTTTTACAGAAATGCTGTCGATAGAAATAACATTATCTGAAATCATGAGATAATGTGGCTTTTATACATGTGTAATATTCTGTACAGGCCGTAGAACTTTATAGTTACATTGCGGAGGTCGATCGCAGTCATGTTTGAAAATGGAGTTTTGAAAAGTATGCTAGTTTTGCAGCGTGTAAAATGACTGATGAGTCCTGGGACATTTCTGTCAATATTTTTATCAAGCGGGCATGACCGGCATATATATGGCCGAGGTGGATCTCATGGTTTGGACTGTTGACAAGCTGTTTTTATCCATTTTCGTATTTCCCAGATACAGGATTCCAAATGGCTCTTAATTCAAACAAAAGCATCTTTAATTTAACATCTGCATAAGGATAATAGATATTAGGTATAGAGACGAGGTATAAAAACTCAACAGTATTGGACCCTAAATAGAGCCCTGTGAGACACCGTATAGAAGGCCAAGTCTTCAGATGATTTGTCAGTGATAATAATAGATTGTTTTCCATTAGTTAAAAAAGTATTTGTGCAAGATATACTGAAATCAAATGTCAAGCAGATAAGGCAGCCAACAAGTCCAATAATATAAGTATACAATTCTGGTTGTCTGAGTGAATTGACAGGAATACGGCATAACATTGCATCAACAATACTTCAGTTCTTTTGAGACTACATGTATATGGGTTAGGTCTAAAAGCCAAAAACCATTGCAGATTCCGTCATAGATTAAAGTAGCTAAGTCTCTAACTCAATATCGTCCAAAGTCTTCGACATTGAAAACACGAATTATTTGTCACTTTAAATCAACATTGATGTTTTGATCTTGGGAAAAGATGGGCTTCTGATATCCAATATTTAAGACAAAATAAACATTTTACCTTTGGTACATGAATCGTGTACCATAATGCGTAACAAGGGACTCGAAGAATGAGGCTAGACCTAATCCACAAGTCATGTCAAACGGTGACGTCATATTCTTATATGGGGAGCATGCACAATAAATACTATCGGTGTAGACTGGAATAACCAGGCGCTAGAGGTTGCCATTTGATTGAGACTTCTGGCGTATTTCGAACATAACTGATTTGAAGTTAGAGTAAAATTGGAAACGATTGAATGTAAATCAGTTTATACATTCATATTACATTATTTTATGCGTTGCGACCCATTTGTGTCAATTTCTAGGTCCCAAATATTAGCGACTTAGCTCCTTGAAGTCACTTCCAGTAGGGGTCTTTAGCAGTGGGAGGAAACCAGAGGCCTTTGAGAAATTCTATGAGGTTGGGCAGACAACCCTATGATCTAAAGCGCATACATTAGATCACTTAACCCCCCACCGCCTCTTTCAGTTTAGCTGGAATAAAGTAGCGAAAATAAACATGTGATTGATTTTGTTTTATTCATCAAATGAAGTGTGGAAGCTAGTGAATCTATTTATAGAACAGAATTAACATGACAGGAAGAAATAAATATAATAGAATAAAAAGTCTTTTCACATATATCATTCCAATAATAACTAATAATAATAGTAATTAATACTTTAAAATAGATTTGATAAAACTGTTCACGCTATGTCCACTCACCGAGCACACCAGACCTTCACACTAAGCATAAAAACTTCACCCAGAGAACACAGCACATATATATTTTATCTAAAACTTAGTTTTAAACACATCACACTAATTCAGCAAGTACAATAATTTTGATATGTAAATAATAAAGATATTTATTAATTGTTATATTATTTAGTAATCATGACCATCCGGTGGTCTAGGGAGTTGATTATGGGCTTGCCTTGTGAATAAATGTCTAAGTAATAATTTATATAACATTTGAAGCCAAAATAAAGACCTGCAATAGGAAGATTTATCTCTTACTGGGTCGACCATTTATTTCTCCATTCACTTCTTTTATACTGTTATATATACATACCGTAATCATAGGCGTAGGAGGCCAATCTCAGTTCAGGGTGCTGCTGCCCGAAAATTTTCTTTGTCACCCAAATTTTCAGTATGAATCAACCATTTTAACTAAAACGTGTATTCCTCTTAAGTATTATAGTATTCAAAATGTTAACTGTGAGCGATTTCATTTTACAATTATATTTCTATATGGTCTCATTTTGATATTTGATGCCGAAAAAAAAAATGGACAGGTTCACCAAATCTAGAGGGGGTCTGTAGTGAGTGCACCCAGCCCACCCCAACCAGCTCCTATGCCTATGACGGTAATCAAGATAATAATTTGCATAGTTCAATCGACTAAAATCTCTCACAAAATAAATTGCTTCTTCACATCTTATTGAACATAATTATATCGGTTCTCCAATAACCAATGGAAATTGAAGAATTCTGTGTCTAAATCTTTTATGGAACTACTAAAATTACTCAGATGTGCATCTTGGCCCTACACCCATTTGTAATTAATGGATTATGAAAACAATTCTGTATTGATATATAACTAATATAATACTTTTCACACAACAAAACAAATATAGAATAATAATATATGTATTCTATCCAGGTATCCCTCCAGTGGTAGCATTCCGTACTACTCCACCACTTAGAGTGGGTTAATAAAGACCGGCATACAACTTACAGCGTGCTGAGGGACATTTTGCCTGGACAGCAGCACTACAGCCTACTCTTACATAGAACTCCAACTGCCAAAGAATAGAACGGAATGATATCACTGGGAACACCGAGGATATATGTATTCATGAATGTATTCACGACATCATCCGATATATACATTGTATATGATGCTTTAGAAGCCAAATATGTCAGGGCTCATCTTCACACCATCATCTAAATATAGCATTAGAACCCAAGGCTTGGGGAAGATGGCCTGAGCAACGTTGTTAACAATTCCTCTTGAGTTAACGAAAAATCTGAGGTCAAATCAATATTTTTACTAAGAATCTAAAAAGCGTTCAAAAATTTTTCAAAAAGATATGAATGTTTCGAATTTCATAATTAAAGGCAGTCAAAGTGTCCATATTTGGATGAGGGGTTCAGTGGTGAAAATATAAACATATGTGAAAGTCCTGTCAATCGATTGAAATTCTCAATAAGATGATTGAATTGATCTCTGACCTTGTAACTAATCTTCTTTATTTTTGGTGTTACTAGGTAACAGTTATAACAGTTGAAATAAAATATTAATTATTCTTAATAGTTAAAAAATATAAAAACTTAAATTCTAAACAAAGATAAATAATAAACGATCATATAAACATATAAACCAGGGAACACAAACCCTCGAGCCATGGGGTCTGATGCCCCTTCCTTCTATGGCAATGCATTGGTTTTAAGGTTGTGGCTGTCAAGCTAAAAAGGTTTGGGACTCCTGATAAAAATAAACAAAGTTGTTGTGATAAACATCATAAATGCATCTTTTCTCAATTCCATAACACTGGGATTAGTAATCACTGATGGTACACTGGTAATATTCGATTAAACAGTTCGGAATTGAATTTTCTCATATGGAAAATGTGAAATTTAAATTAGAATTAGATCAAATTTTGAGTTGTGAAAGGACAATTTCAATTCAGAATTCAGTCAAATTATGAGAAGTGCAATAACAACAGGTGTTGAGCAGTGGGAGGACCCACTGGATTGCACAGGCATCCTTATTCCTTGTCGCATATAAGTAAACCAGGCCACTTGAATCCATGACAGACCTTATCATCTAAAGTTCAAGTATTAAACCCTTCGACCACTGAAACCCGCAAGAATTAACAGAATGCTGATGGATAGTGTACCTGAAGTGAACTATATGGAGGTATACATTATAGTAAAATGTATGATATGCCTTTCTTTGCAGTAAATATTATCTTTGTCTTTTAACATTGATTTGAGTTGTTAATCTTTCAAAATCGCATAACCCTTTTTTAAACATAATGTCCGGAAACCCAGATTTGACAGTACACACGTCAAACTCGCTAAACACGAGTGGCTGGAGTACACACGTCAAACTTGCTAAATACAAGCAGCTGGAGTTCATACGTCAAACTTGCTAAACATGAGCACATGGATTCCCAGATTTGACATTTACATGTACAACGTATCTCTTGTCATGACTTTGTTTCCGTTATATCCAGACATAGGAATCCAGTATATAGGCTGCAAAACATTCAGGGATTTGACGGTCAAATGAACACGTTTGACCATGTATGTACATGCATATACTTGAATGTCATTACGCTGAATTTTATTATCATAAACAAACCAGAAATATCTTGATCTACAAGTTCAAAATTAATATTTACATGTATATGTAAAAACACGGATGAAATATTCTTTTAAAATCGAGAATATATAATTTAATCATTGGTCATTGATATTTTTACAAAAACACGATTTGTTGAAAATTTGTTATATCTTATTGTTACAAATGAAGCTCTCACATGATAAATAACGATAATACTTCAAGAAAAGATATCCAAAAATTAATACAGTTTATCTCTGCCCTATTTAAAGAATAAACATTAATAGAAGACATCTGTATACTTAAGCCTAGATATAAGGTACCTGTCAGACTTTGTCAAACACCTGTGACAGGTGCCTTATATTCATCAGGTTTGTATTATTAAATGCTTTTGAACAAAATGCATCATCAAAAATTCTCTCTGTGACTTTCCATAAAAATATGTGTAAACTTCAATGACATTGATGAACCATAAACTATAACCGAGAAATTTCTTTACTATGGCTATTAATAAACTATGTTTCTAGGATTCCCCTAAGGATTTATACATCTTTAAAAGTGCAGTCTATAACTAGAGAATCAAAGTCATTCTGTCAATACAAAATGGTATCTATGATGGAAGATGGTCCACCTATTTGCCTTATATGTACGCATGCAAAATATGGTAGATACGATAACAGCGACTGACTTCAGCATTTAGCAAACTCCTATACTCTTCTGTTCAAATGACACATTAAATTAAAGACAGCCAGGATGACTGTGAAATTTTTTCAGGATTTTCTGGTGTGGTTTCCCCTTGTGA